AAATGGGAAAACTGTTTTAAGCACGTGAAAGACAAAGTTGAAAAGAGAATGTGGGAACTGGACAATATTTTAGAGGAACAAGTCGAGCCATTCATTATTGACGTTGGTGCTTCAGGCAGTAGCGATGATGAAAGCTCATCAAGCTCATCTTTCCAATAAAAGATGTCGTTCATCAAATTCGGTAAGTTATAAGTAATTATAAAGCTACTGTATTTTTTAATTAATTATTGACATTTTTGAACCCATTTTGGCAAAACCTATTCAAGAATCTACTTTCTGACAATGTTCAACCATGCACATTTTTTTACGTTTTGAACGTTTTAATTTGGTTACATATTTACCTAGAAATCAAAAAATATACTAATCAATATTCTAAAAGCAATTTTAAGAGATATACGATTATTTTTAATTTAGTCTAATTTAAACGCCATTTTGAGATTATATTCGACTGTATTTCACCAAACATCAGGCGGCATCCGAAGCTGGAAATCGAAGCGAAAATTTTGAAACCCTTATGTATATTTACATCATTATATATTTCTTACCCCACCCCCACATGATCCTATATCCATCACCAATCGTATACACATCGAATTGTGCTAATTTACTACAAAGTTACGCAAAGCAGCATCTACTATCTAAAATATGTACTGCGTGACTCTTAATACGTCCCTGCCGAATGTTACAGCGTTCGATGATCACGTGGTCTTGTTTATGTCCGGTCTATCTCTTATCTGAATATACTGTAGCTAGTGATTTCCAGTGGTGGTCAAACGTTTTGGTGACGTCACAGCCATTTTTTGACATGATTCGGGTGGTTTCGGAACTCGTCTTACCCTTGGATAGCCCTTTCTATACTGTTCTATGCTCATATTGACGTAATTATAATAATTCTGTGGTGTCTCGTATTCCACGAGGATTTACGGTCAAAGCCAGGCGGTGAATCATCTGTTGTTGTTGTTTGAGTTGTTGACGAATTTGCGGTAGAGATTTGTTTTGGTGTTCGTCTTCGGGTGTGTTTTTCTGCCTTGGACTTGTTTTTTGTGCGATTAAGTGAGGATGGCCATGCCTAGAGCAAAAAACACGAGAGCCGCGCTGGTATCAAGTCCTGACCGTGGTGAAGAGGTACCTGCAGAAGGCACCTGAACGCAATCGGACATCGCCAGAGGAGCGCCTAATGATGACGTCGTGTACACGTTAAATCTGCACGAACCCCTAAATACGTGGTTATGTTGAATGTACCATCACCGATGATGCGACTGATTATACACTGAAATTAAAAAAAAAACTGCAACTGCAATTGTATGTATGAATGTTGAAACTGTTGAGCAGTTTCGGACCAGTGGGGTTAAAATATCGTTGAGGAACTGGAAAGAAGTGTAGAATGTGTTGAAATGCAACACCTGACAAAAATTTGAGTGAAAAGGCTTTTTCATGTAAGGGTTTGGAAGTGCAAGTTTGCAAATATACGATAAACTATAAGAACACAGTAGGTGATAATATATAATCACATATGGATTACAAAAGTTGCAGTAAACATGGAAAAACGTTCAGCTAATCTGAAAAAATAGATTTTACTCAGACATCAAGCATTTTTAAAAATTTTGGCTCAGTTTTACATAACTTCATAATATTTAATAAACTGAATAGATTTCAATCGCAAGCTGTCACTTCATATCTTACAGTGTTTTGTTTTGAATACCTTGATGCTATTTGCTGCCAAAAATTTGACGGAGAGATCTTGAGGCTGATTGGGTATATTTAGCGGACTGTTTGGTACTCGTGTGCAGAATAATGGTTTGTTAAATTGTGAAATCCACACTTAGTGTTGAAATGATACGTACGGGAAAACGTGTTGAGGCTTAAATTTTGACAGTACAACAATTTTCCAGAAATTTGGTGAAAATACAGGATGCGACAACATAACTTCCTTTTTTCAAAACTTCATGAAACCCATGCGTACACGCATGTCTAAAGATTTGTTTTACATAGTTTTGACGAACAAATCATACAGTTGACGTCCATCGTTCTCCATACACCGAGTTTACTGATTTCTCGACAGTATTGCCCTGCCGGCCCTTCGTGTCCGAAGTGTGAGATTCTCCAGAAATGGCAAAGTCGCTAAGACCCTTGAGTCATTGCGCTAGGTTTTCATAATGAAGGTATTAGTCATCTATTCTATATCGTGCACATACGTACTTTTATACCAATGTACATGTACAATCGAGCAAAATAGAAACTTGTGTATTTTTGTTCTCCCGTAACTTACTAAGCATCATTTGTCTCACTAATGGCAGAATATCAACCCATTTGTTTGGATGTCATCCATTTTCCTTAGCGTATATGCGTGGCAAAATTGTCAACAGTGAGACTCTCGCCGAGCGTCAGTTCCAGCTGTGTCTGGTAGTCAACCCACCTACCAAATCTAGTAGGTGATCCTGCTCTTCATTGCAATGTACGCAATTCGCGTCCTCTCTCTCTCTCTATTTCCTACCATTTTTAGATAGCGGTCAAAGCAACCACGTCCTGTGAGGAACTGTGCAATATAGTAATCTATCCGCACCACTCCGTTGTCGATCCAAGTTTTAAAAAAGCTCCTCTCTTTAATCACTTGTAGCTTCGACGGCCTTTTTACAGAGTGCGCATCTCTTGTTAGAATGGAAATGAAGATCATCATGAAGAATTCTCCTCACAGAACGATCGGAAAGTCCAAGTGCAGCCGCACGTTTGCGCGCATAACGCCCTGCTGATCGCAACATTGAAGCTCTCACTGCCTCAATGTTTTCATGTGATTCCAGTTTTCCGTCTTGACGCACTTGCAGTTTGTCAGAACGTAGTGACCCGCATAACAATTGATTTCCGGTCCTCTGCGAAAGTAGGTCCCCCCCCAGCCCTGTTCCAACACATGATGGCGACTGAACTGTATCGGGACAAAACTTCATAGTCCCGTCTCTAGAACTCGAATTGCGCTTTATACTCGCATTTTCATTACTTCTCTAATAACAAATTCCAGCATTTTGCCTTCCTTGTTAACCCCTCCCCCCTCCAAAATTATGCTGAACGCGCCCCTGCCAAAGCGTGAGGATTTTTTTTGAGTAACTCCAGAATTTTGTAGTCTAGTATCCATACCTACTTAGCTCTAATCGCTGAACAGTTGCTAGCGTTCTGTATACCTCTAAGTACATATAGAGGAGCTTATAGTTAGCTATTAGGTTAAATTGCTTTACGGAATTGTAATGGAAATATCTGATCGAAATAACGTCCTAATAATCGGGCTACGTGGAAGCTAGATTGTACACACAGCGATCTCATTGTTGAAACGGCGGCTGCTGGCTAACTTATTTTCAGCTTAGAATTTATATACAGGGTGGCGCATCGAAAAGGAAACACGCACTTACTGGCAGCTCAGTTTTTTTTTGAAAAACGTTCAGAAAGGGGGGTCGAGTGATATCTTAGTTTAAAGCTCTTTCAATTCCCTTTATAATGAAGTAAAATACATGAGCTTCAGTTCAGTAGTTTTGAAGATATAAAGCTTTAGACTTTAATAGGTACATCAGATTAGTTTGTACTACTTTCAGACGAAATTTGACTAAAAGAATTTACTTAATAAGTATAATAATAATGCTTTTCTTCACTACGCCCTTGGTTTGTTTATCATTTTGTTGTTGAAAATAGCTATTGGAGCTTTTTTGTGACAAAAAGTTATTTCCTGAAGAAAGATAAGGAAATGTCTCGTACTTATTTTAAATAGGAATTTAGTACATAGTTTGCGATTGATTTGACCAAACTTTGTTGCTAAAATAACGTGTAACGCTTTATTACATAAATTAACCATGGTATATTCCACAGCAGAAAGAGTTGAAATTATCGAAATATTTTTCGGAAATAATCAGTGCCCTAAAAGAACAGCAGAAATATTTAATGAGCCACATGAGAACAGTAACGTGCATCGAAAATATGTTCCAGAACTTGTAACTAAATTTCGGAAAACTGGGTCAGTCGCCAATAAAAAACGCAACATTGAAAATCCCATAAGGAACGAAGCAATAGAAGTGGGGGCTTTAGGGCAAGTTAAGTACCCGCAAATTGGAAACTGTGTGTGGTGTTAGTCGACGTACTGTCCAACGGATTCTAAAGGCCCATAGGTTTCATCCGTATAAAATTCACCTGGTACAAGAACTTAATGAAGACGATTTTGATGGTCGATTACAATTTTGTCCTTTTTTCTTACCTGGAAATTTGACCGGTGAAATGTATTTGGAATTACTGGAAGACGCCATAGATCCTGCATTAACAGCCATAATAATTGAAAATCAGAATGAACGGCGGTACATTGAGAATAGGTTGATGTTCCAACAGGATGGTGCCCCACCACATTACGCATTACTTGTTCGACAATATTTAGATCAGACGTTTCCAGATCGATGGATTGCTGGAAGAGGTGTCATTGAATGACCCCCAAGATCGCCAGATTTATCACCTTTGGATTTCTTTATGTGGGGTCATTTAAAAAGCAAAATCTATGCTACTCAGCCAACATCATTAGAAGACCTGCGACCAAGAATTATCAATGAGTGCCTTCAAATTACTCCTCAAATATTGCAAAATGTGCGGCAAGGTTTTGAGCAAAATCTTTATTATTGCATGGAAAGTCATGGTGGCTATTTTCAACATTTCCTTGCCTAACGGGTCAGTTCATTCTTCATTTTTAAATTACTTTGCTGCCAAAGACCTTTAGAATAAGGTATCACTCGACCCCCCTTTCCGTTTAAGATTTTGGGGGGGTGTCACCCCCGCTTAGGGGGCTGCACGTGCTAACGTCATTCTTTGACAAACTTGTGTCCCCCTCGAAAACAAAATCGACGAGTCTGAGCGTTTTTCAATTACGTATCTAAGGTGATACATGCACTGATGGGCAATCCTGTTTACTGGAAATAGTCCGGTCCGTACTACGTACTTGTGGGCGCGTACCTTAAGCCTGACATTATTTTTTGTTCCAGTTTGAACGCAGATGGGTTAACGCCGTTGGATGTTGCAGTACTAAGCAATAATAGGCCTTTAGTCAAAATGTTAGTCAGTTTTGGTGCTAGAGAAGGTAGTCAATGTAAGTATTTATATTATAAAATATATTCAAAGGTCCTATTTTCGTGCCTGCCAGCGAGCCAAAGATATGCGCACTAAATAATTGATAAAAAAGCAAATGATCCGAGCAGTGCCCCATTCCGTTCTATGCACCTTGAAGCTGCTTCCTATAATATTTTGTCTTCGAAAGGGATAAATGGCCTAAGACTTATTTGAATCGTTACTTGTGATAGTTGAGCTGTCAAACAGAAGAGAAAAGTTGTGCTTTGAGTATATTTTAGATGTTTTATGCATTTATTGGTTTTTTACTTGGCAGCTCTTATTTCCACCAATTACATTAACTTGTTATAAAAGTGTATTATATGTATGTATATATGTATTATAATACAAGCTGCACCTTTCAAGGCTTAATTTAATGTTCTTACTATTAATTGCACTTTTTAAAAAATAAAAAATTACCGATGAAGCTGAAGCTATCTACATGAGAAAAATGACAATTTCAAAGTACTATACATCAGCGACAGAAAAAGATATTCAAGCAAACTCGACGGCATTCGAAAGGTCAAGGCATATACTACGTCTAACGGTTTTTTTTTAAATAGTTTGCAATTCTACATAACCTCAAATATAGACTAAAACGCTATTTTTGCACCTTTAGAATGGCATATCTCGGAAACTAGCGCCTATTGCTAAATCTGGACCAGGGATTCGGATTCGGCGCTTCAAAACCTTCGAGAAAATATTCTCTGGTTTCTGGGCAAAAATATTTTCGACTTGTGTAATCCATTGACATCTTATAACTTGAGTTTACGTATTGTGTACTATTTGCAATTGATAAAACGCTCTATTCTCCACCATACGCATGACAGGTTATCCTAGCTCTACCTCAAGGTCGTTCGCATCATCGAGGTCACGCGACTTCAATGCCATTCGCGGTGCAAGGTCACACGATTTCAAGGTCATCAAACATTCAAGGTTCCATAACGTCAAGGTCATTGACATTCCGTGGTCGTATGACGTCAAGGTCGGCACCGAAGGTGGGCGGTTTCAGAACATATAAACCCTATCTTGTTTGGCCTGTCTAATGCCTATTGTAATTAGGTGTCTTCAGATGGAATGCTTTAGATACCCAATTAAAATAGGTACCAAAATGAGATTGAGGGTACTAACGCCGTCTATGAGAAACACTGTAACTCTTCAAAGTATATGCCGAAGTTGATGTTTGTGTTTTGCTACTGTCTCATAGGTGATACAGTATATGGTTGGCTCTATCTTCAGGTATTATACCGGGTGTTTCACATTCGACCCTCACTATTGGGATATTTGGAAAATGAGGCAAAGTTGCGTATTTAGGTAACATAGCTAACAAAATGCCACTCAGAAAGTTTCGAGATTCAAAGAACCTCCTGAGAGAAACAGAAAAACCAAATTTTCTTAAAATCGTTTTAATCTTTTCCTGACTTTATTTGTCGTGGGATGCTAAAATAAATTACACATTAACATTGCCTCTTTTTCTCCTCTTCAAAATGGCAGAATTTCACTATGACGTTTCGTCTCTAGTCCTCCAGAATCATTTTTTCTTACAGACGCCATATTGAAATTTTTGGGCAGATGGATAGAGTTTTTAATTCTGATTCGAAAAATGTATACAGGGTGTTTCAGTTTATTGTTGCATCACTTCAAGATTCGAAAGAACTTTTAAAATTAATGCATAAAGTCTATATAAACATGGGTCGAAAAATGCGTGACTTCCGAAATACAGGGTGTTTAAATTTACTTTTTAAAATAGTTTTTTTTAATATTTCGAACAGTATTTGATGTATAACAGTGAAAATTGGTATACAAGGGTTATTTGGTACGACAAAACGAACCATGGGCATAGTTTTACCGTAGCCGCTAGAGGGCGCTCTCTACTGTACCTGTAGTGTATTAAAATGACCGAAAAATTTTTCTTAGTGCAATTTTTGGCTTTTTGAATAAAAAAACTGATTCTTCGCACTTTTCTGCATAAAAAAGCTCTCCTGTGAGTTTTCGTTATAGTTAGCCGTTTTTGAGATATTTCGATTTTTAAGGTTCGATGCATTTTTAATTATTTATGGGAAAATAATATTTTTTTTACATTTTCGATTTGGGCATTACAAGTAATTAAGAGGATCGTTTAGATTGTATTTTTAAACACAGCAATAATTCCTAACTCCAAATAAACACAAAAAACAGAATATTAATTTGTTTAATTTTCCAATATTATTTTTAACAAATTAAATTAATTATTTACAACTAAAATGCTATTGGATACCTAGGACAAACATACAAAATCTATAGTAGTTGCTCGAAATGTAAACCCAATTGTTCAATACACAATTCACATCTACGAATGATCGAACGTGGTATAGCATTATTCAAATAAGGCCTTATTTCATCACATGCATTCCTGATTCTGTCTATTAGCATATCTCTTGTGGTTACGGGAGTATGGTACACTTTTTCTTTTAGAAATCCCCACACAAAGAAATCTAATGGATTTAGGTCAGGGGATCGTGGAGGCCAGGCGACTGGTCCTCCACGGCCGATCCATCTTTCTGGATAATTTTCGTCCAGCCAGTTTCTAACTATTCTCGAATAATGAGCTGAACAACCATCAAGCTGGAACCAGGCCAATCTTCTTAAATCTAACATAACATCATCCCACATATTTGCATGTTCAGCCTTTAAAAATTCCAAGAAGGTCGCAGCATGTAACCTTACAGGCAAAAGGTAGGGTCCAAGTAGTCGATTACGGTAGATACCAATCCACACGTTCACACTAAATTCATGCTGAAAATTTCTTTCCCGAACTGCATGCGGATTTTCATGCGACCAAATATGTTGATTATGAAAATTTACCACTCCACGTCTAGTGAAGCATGACTCATCGGTTCATAAAATGTTACTTGAAAACTCCGTATTATTATCAGTTCTATCAAGAATCCACTGACAAAATGATTCTTCGTTCTCCGTCCCCTGGCTGTAGTCCTTGCACAGGTTGCAAATGGTAAGGACGTCTATGGTCATTTCTAAGAACACGGTGAACATGGCTTGCTGAAATTCCCAAGGCACCAGAAACTCTCCTAACACTTGTGGTCGGATCTCTATCAAACTCACGCAGAATCATACTTGTAAATCTGCGCTGACGAACATTTATGTTTTGATCCCTTTGGAGATTTCCAAAACCATTTTCAATTATTTGGCGATGCACTCTTACAAATACTGAGCGAGTTGGATGTCGTCTGTTTGGAAATCTTCGTGAGCATTTTCTGGCTGCTTCTGCTGCGTTTCCATTTACAAAGCCATACACAAAATGAATACCCGCTAACTCTTGATTGGAGAATAAAAATGGCATTTTTATAAAACTTAAAAAAAAACAGGTAAAAGAAACTAAATTTCGTGCTTTCACAATTGCAAAAAAACGTTTCAGGTTTCAACAGACAACAAAACTAACTGTCAACTAATTGACGTTTAACCTTATTCTGCTTTCAATTTCAAAAATATTTGCAGGCACAGCCTACTTCTAGAAATTATTGAGATACTGACTTTTTAACGTTATTTTATCATAAATAATTAAAAATGCATCGAACCTTGAAAATCGAAATATCTCAATAACGGCTAACTATAACGAAAATTCACAAGAGAGCTTTTTTATGTTGAAAAGTGCGAAGAATCCGTTTTGTTATTCAAAAAGAAAAAAATTGCACTAAGAAAAAAATTTCGGTCATTTTAATACACTACAGATACAGTAAAACTATGCCCATGGTTCGTTTTGTCGTACCAAAAAAACCCCTGTATACCAATTTTCACTGTTATACATCAAATATTGTTCGAAATATTTAAACAAAACTATTTTAGAAAGTAAATTTAAACACCCTGTATTTCGGAAGCCACGCATTTTTCGACCCATGTTTATATAGACTTTATGCATTAATTTCAAAAGTTCTATCGAATCTTAAAGTTATGCAACAATAAACTGAAAGACCCTGTATATCATGATAGGTAGATAGGCCTTGAAATTATCATAGACATTTGTTTCGTATACCAGACCAGACCTCAAATTGAACATAGTAACAGAGTTTGGAAGACTGAGAGGAAGAGAAATAAATCGAACAGTGAACGATGTACAGAGGAGAGTAAAGCTTTGCCTACAAAATAGCCGACAACATTTTGAACATTACATTATACATTTTTGGAATCAGAATAGAAAACTCGATTCACTCGTGCAAAAATACAGGATGCATCCCTAAGAAAAATAAGAAATGTATCGAAATTCTAATTATACTATATTGTAGAGCGAAAAAAGTGGCAACGTTGATGTGTCATTTATTTTGAAATCAGAAAGTCAGAAAAAAATTAAACCTATTTTAGGAAAATTCGGTTTATTCTTAATTTTTGTTGAATACCTAAATACGCATCTTTGCTCCCTATTTAAGCGACTTCGTATCTCTTATCGTTTCCGAGATCCCAATGATGTTAAAATAAAGCAATGTGAAAGCTCAATACTAGAAACTATTACAATTAGATATGCCGAAGATGCAACTTCAAATTTACTTTAAGATTCTTCAGAGTTATATTTTTCAGAACGTTTTGTAAATTGTATAAGGATATTCCATTGAATGTGAAGGATTTTTTGAATAATGAAGTCTTCCGTTGAGGCATAGTCAATATATCTGGATAACGCCCAGTATGTTATTCGATGGTTAAAGCGACAAAATTATTGTTTCTCACTGGACGTTACAAACATATTTTTGTATATCTTGTTCTCATTTGTCTTCTGCAGCTCCATGATAGTTATTCGGATGTTATTGGCGAGCAAGGAAAACAAACATCCATGGCAAGTCTGATTGCAATTAGTCTCCCACTTTAATTAAAGAGCCGCCATGCTGACGCGGCTTGGCTTGTTTGCCTACCAATGAAAGCAAAATTACGATCCCGAAAATTTGGAACAAACTCGAATTAGTCGGAACTCGCAAACTTTGAAAAACCCCAAAATGG